AAGTGCAAATTTCCAGTGATGAATGTCATTATATTGTATACCTTAAATGTACCAATAAAACTCATTAAAAAAAAAGAAATACGATAAGCCATACCATAGGATAAATGGATTTAGCAGACATCTACTGAGTGTTTCATCTAACAGCAGCAGAAGATATATTCTTACCAGGTGCCCATGAAGCTTTATCCAAAACAGATCATATTTTAGGCCATAAAGCATGTCTTTTTTTTTGGTACCAGGGATCGAACTCGGGTTCTTGCACTTGCAGGCCAGGCGTTGGAACCACTGAGCTAAAGCCCTGTCCCAAGCATGTCTTAATAACTACAAAAGAACTGAAGTAATCTCTTGCATTCTATCAAATCACAATGGGATGAAACTAGAGAGCAACAGAAAAAAAGAAAAGAAAACTACACAAACACATGGATATTGAATATTAAACTTTTTTTTGGTACCAGGGATTGAACTGGGCTCCTTGTGCTTGTGAGGCAGGTGGTAGAACCACAAATATTACACTTTTTAATGCTCAATGGATCATAGAACAAAATCAGGGAAAACATTTAAAAACTCCTCGAGTCAAACGACCCTAAAAATACAAAATATTAAAATCTGAGGGACACAATGAAAAAAAGTTCAAAGAAGAAAGTTAGTGGCTATAAGTACTTACATCAAGAAAAAAAACAAAAACAAAAAAACAAAACAAAAACCCCAGCAAGCTCAAATAAATAACCTAATAACGTCTCTCAAGACACTAGAAAAACAGGAAAAATTCAAGCCCAGAACTAGTAGAAAGAAAGAAATTATGAAGATGAGAGCAGAAATCAATGAAACTGAGACAAAAAAATACAAAGGATCAATGAATTAGAGTTGGTTCTTTGAAAAGATAAATAAAATTGATAAGCTCTTAGCCAAACTTACTAAGAAAAAGAAAAGACTCAAATAAATGATTAAAAATGAAAAAAGCTAACCATAGTGGTGCCCGGCTGAGGCAGGAGGATTGTAGAAAAGTTCAAGGTCATCTTGGGTTATGTAGTAAGTTCAAAGGCAGCCTAGACTCTATAGCGAGACCCTGTCTCAAAAAAGAAAGAAAGAAAGAAAGAAAGAAAGAAAGAAAGAAAGAAAGAAAGAAAGAAAGGAAGAAAGAAAGAAAAAGAGAGAGAGAGATAAGAACAAAATTACAACAGGCACCACTGAAATCCAGAGGATTGTAAGAAACTATTTTGAAAGCTTATAGTCCAATAAATTAGAAAATCTGAAAGAAATGGATAAATTCCTAGACACATAAGATTTACCAAAATTGAACCAAAAAGACAAACACCTGGAACAGATAAATAAGAGGCAATTAAATTGATGCAGTAATTTTAAAAAAAACTAAGAAAAGCTGAGGACCTGAAAAACAATTATATTCCTGACAGCTTCAAAAAACAATTAAAAGTTAAGTGTGATGGTACACGCCTGTAATCCCTTGGGATTATAGCCCCATGAGTTGGTAGCCAGGCTGGGCTACATAATGAGTTCAAGGCCAGCCTGAATTACATAGCGAGACCCTGTCTCAAAATACAAAACAAGGGTGGGGGATTTAGCTCAGTGCTTCTGGCCCCTGCCTTCCAAGCCCAAGGTCCCAAGTTCCATCCCTGGTACCAAAAAAACCCCAAAAGACCTAGGTATTTAATTGTTTTGTTTTTTTGTTTGTTTGTTTTGGTACCAGGGATCACACTCAGGTCCCTGCACTTGTGGGGCAGGTGGTGGAACCACTGAGCTAAATCCCCAGCCCAATGCCTAAGAATCAATCTAACCAAGAAAGTGAGAAATTTCTACAATGAAAACTACTCTGAAGAAAGAGAGTAAAGATTTCTTTAGACACCTCCTATTCCTGGATAGGCAAAATGAATATCATCAAAATGGACATATTGCCAAAAATAAAATAACGATTCAATGTAATTCCTATTAAAATACCAACATTCTTTTTTTTTTTTTTGATACCGGGGATTGAATTTAAGACCTTGTGCTTTTGAGGGAGGTGCAGTGCCACTGAGCTAAATCTCTGCCCCCCAACATTCTTCCTAGAAATAGAAAAAATAATCCTAAAATTTTATGAAACCAGAAGAGAACCAGAATAGCCAAAGAACTCCTGAGGACAAGGATTGTATCAGCTAGAGTTCACTAGGGTAACAGACTTAATATAATATATGCCTATCGTATATATAAAATTTACAAGGTAGTTTTACAATAACCACGTGTAGAGTCAGGGGTGGGAAGAGGCTGTCTGTGTGCTGGAGAGCTGAATGAACAGAGATGGAAGCTCACTGCAGAGATCCACTGGAATCTGTGCTGGGAATCTGAAGGGTCCATGTTGGAAAGGTGAAGAGTCTGTGTGGGAAGCCAGGAGATGGACATCCAAAGGTGATGGTGAAGACTGAAGCACCTTCAAAGAAGCAGAAGCAAGACTGCCTTCTTCTTTCCCATTTTATTTCATCCAGGCTACAAGCCTATTGGTTGATGCCACCCACACCCAGAATGGGTCTTCCCTCTTCAGTAAGCTCATCATTCATTCACACTCAGAAATATGCTAAGCCATCAGCTGGGCATTTCTTTCTTTCTTTCTTTTTTGGTGCCAGGGATTGAACTTGGGTCCTTGCGCTCGCGCGGCAGGTGGCAAAACCACTGAGCTAAATCCCCAGCCCTAGCTGGGCATTTCTTATGCAAGGTGACATAACAACTAAATAAAACAAAAAGGAAAACAGGAGGCATCACAACCCCAGGTTTCCAGTTATGCTATGAAGCTATAGTAACAGAAGCCGCAGGTACTGACACAAAAATAGAAACATAAACCAGGAGAATGAATAGAAGACAGAAAAATACCACATGACCTTCAGCCATCTGATCTTTGACAAAGAGAAGAAAATATAAGCTTAAGGAAAAAAAAATGCTCTTTAACAGTCACGCTGGGAAAGCTGGCTATCCACATGCAGAAGAATGAAACTAAGCCCATTATCTCTCACCTTGTACTAAAATAAAATCAAAATGAATGAAAGATCTGGATATTAAAACAGACATGCTGGGCTGGGGATTTAGCTCAGTGGTTCCACCACCTGCCTCGCGAGCTCAAGGACCCGAGTTCAATCCCCGGTACCAAAAATAAAAAATACAAAAAACAGACATGCTGAGGCCAGGGATTTAGCTCAGTGGTTCCGCTGCCTGTCTCGAAAGTGCAAGTTCCTGAGTTTGATCCCCAGTTCCAAAAACAACAACAACAACAAAACAGACATGCTGAAACTGCTAGAAGATAACATAAGGAAAACACTTAGCATAGGCACAGGCAAGGATATTGAGAATGAATAAATGGAATTAAATCAAATTAAAAAGCTTCTGCACAACAAAGGAAACAACGAGGTGAAGAGACCACCTATAGAATAGGAAAAAATTTTGTCAGCTACTCTTCTGGCAGAGAAGTAATATCTAGAAAACATAAAGAACTAAAAAAAAAAAAAAAATTAACCCCCCCTCCAAAAAAAATGACCTAATCAAAAAAATCGGCAAGTGAACTAAGTAGACACTTCTCAAAGGAAGTACATATAGCCAATAATACACCCCTCCCCCAAAAGAAGTTCAGCATATTTAGCCACTAGGGAAATGCAAATTAAAACAACTCTAAGACTCCATTTTGCCCTTACTCTTTTTTTTTTTTTTGAGACAGGGTTTCACTCAGTAATTCAGGGTGGCCTTAAACTCACTATGTAGCCCAGGCTGGCCTAGAACTCATGGCAATCTTCCTGTCTCTGTCTCCTGAGTGCTGGGATTACAGCATGCACCACCATGCCCATCTTTACTTTTACTTTTTTTTTTTGTACTTGGGATTGAACTCAGGATCTTGTGCTGCGAGGCAGGCATGGCGCCACTGAGCTAAATCCCTGGCCCTCTACTTTTACTTTCTGATGGCTATCATCAAGAAATCAAATACGTGGGCCGGGGATTTAGCTCAGTGGTTTCACCACCTGCTGTGCAAGCGCAAGGACCGGAGTTCGATCCCTGATACCAAAAAAAAAAAAAAGATTCAAGAAATCAAATACAGGGCCAGGGATTCAGCTTAGTGGTTCCGCCACCTGCCTCGAAAGTGGAAGGGCCCAAGTTCAATCCTCGGTCCAAAAAAAAAAAAAAGAAAGAAAGAAAGAAATCAAATACAAGAAAAGAAAAGAAAAAAGAAATCAAATTCTAACAAACGCTGGTGAGGTTGTGGAGGAAAAGGAACCCTCTCAGGTTGTGGATGGGAATGTGAACTAGTACAATCACTATGGAAATCAGTAGGAAGGGTCCTCACCAAACTAAAAATAGAAATTTTATTTGAACCACCTATTCCTCTCCTAGATATATTCCTAACAGTTAAAGGCATCATACTATAGTGATAAATGCATATATTTATAGCAGTGCAGCTAGCAAGAGCTAAGCACTGAAAACAGTCTAGATGTCCGTCAACAGATGAACAGATAAAATGTGGTATATATACAGAATAGAATTTTATTCAACCATAAACAATAGATTCATGTCATTTTCAGGAAAATGGATAGATTTTGAGACCTTAGTGTTAAATGAAATAAATCAGACACAGAAAGTTAAATATCACATGGCTTCTCTTATATGATGTTACAGCTTATATCAAATGCCCCCCCCCCAAGCCTCATGCATTCATAGGGAGGACTTTGGAGAGTGACTGGATCATGGGTGTGTAATACTGGACCAGTCCACTGATTGGTTTAGCATAGTACTGAGTGTTCATGATGGAATTATTGGACAGGTAAGAGCCATCCTGGGTATGGATGGCACCAAAAAACAGGCTTGTAGCCTGGATAGAATAAAAAAGGAAAGAAGAAAGTCATGCTGCTTCCTGCCTATCTTCCAATTAGTTCTTTTTGATATAGGGCACTAAGTAATCCAAATAATGAAAATAACCCAAACAATGCTCAAGTTGTTTCTAGGGAAGAAGATGATAAGGGAAGAGACTTTACCCGTACTAAATCTCCAGATTGGAATATGGGACTTCCTCTTTCTCTAGGCTGAGCTTCTGTTAGCTGTTGAAGAGTCTGTTGGAATTCAGCCAGAGACGTAACATTTTTTAGTAAGGCATCAATTTCTCTATCAAAGAGAAAATCATTAGTGAGAAGAGGACGTCCATGAAGCACTTCAAATGGACTGAGGCCTAGAAGTTGAGGTGTGTTTCTTATTTTGATACAAGCTAAAGGTAGTAAATGAGGCCACTGCAGGTGAATCTCCTGAGCCATTTTGTGAAGATCTCTCTTTAGGGTCTCATTTATCATTTTTACCTTTCCTGATGATTGTGGCCTCCAGGCACAATGAAGGTGATAGAGAATGTCCAGTGCCCGAGAGACACTCTGCACGACTGCCCCTTTTAAGAAAGGCCCATTATCACTCTGTAAGCTGTTAGGAAGTCCAAATCTGGGGACGATTTCTGAGACCAAAACCTTTACTGCCTTCTGTGACTTTTATGTTCTACAAGGAAAGGCCTCAACAAAGTTTGTGAAAGTATCTTCCCAGACCAATAGATATTAGAGTCTGTTAGTCTTCGGCAATCTTCTACAGGGTATTTACTATGTCTCTGTATAGCTGGAGGAGCTATGATCCATTTGAGAGGATTGTCCTTTTGACAGAGCTCACACATCTATCTGTTGTATTATCTGAGCAAGTCCCTGTCCTATCAATAAATTTGAAGCCTTCTGCTGTGTCTTGTCTCTCCCCAAGTGAAAAGTTTGATGTAAAGACTTAATAATTTTCCATTGACTACTATCATGAAGGAACAATTTATTATCATCTGACTGTAACTATTCTGATGGAAGGAACTGACACCCATGGGAGAGAGCCCCTTCAATATCTGAGAATATTTGGGTCGAGTATGGACCCTTCCCAGATTGGGGTGCCTGAAGGGGGCCTGAGCAGCTTCTTTTGCTGCTGCATCAGCCACTTGACTACCTTGAGATGCTTCATCAACTCCTTTTTGGTGTCCTCTACAGTGAATTACCACCACTCTGGAAGGCATATAGATAGATAGATGGACGATAATAGTTCATCTGTCTCCCTATGATACTTTATAGGATATCCATTGGCTGTGAGGTAATTTCTTTCTTTCCATATGGCTGCATGAGCATGCAATACTAGGAAAGCATACTTTGAATCAATATAAATATTGACTTTTTGTCCTTGGCTGAGTTGTAAAGCCCTGGTCAGAGGTACGAGTACTGCTAACTGAGGACTAGTTCCAGGCACAAGTGAGGAACTTTCAAGTGTTTGGTGTAGAGTTACTACAGCTTTTCTTGTCCCATTTTCCGTGAAGGAACTACCATCAGAGAAGAGGGTCAAATCAGGGTCAGTAAAGGGTGTGTCTAACAAGTCTTCTCTGTCTGTGTATGTATGGAGAATTACCTGTTTGCATTCATGTTTGTCAGTTTCAATTTCCTCCTTTCCTGGTAGAAAGGTGGCAAGTCTTAAGGAGGAATATGTCTTTATTTGAATGGCTGGTCCTTCTAGAAGTACAGCCTGGTATTTAAGAAGTTGGTTGCCTGATAGCCATAGGCTCCCTTTGGAAGAAAGAAGTCCTGCTACATTGTGAAGTATATATACAATGAGATGTTTGCATGAAGTCATTTTGGATGCCTCCAGCACTAAGAGGGCTACTCCAGCCACAGCTCTAAGGCATGCAGGCCATGCCTTTGCTACAATGTCTAGTTCATGATTCAGATACCCTACACACTATTGAGTAGGACCCTGATGCTGTGTAAGCACTCCCAAAGCATTTAGAAGCACTTGTTTGAGCTTCTAGAATGTGGCCTGGGAATCAGGTTCCCAGGTTAAAAAATGGATATCTGTTTTTTGGGCTTCTTTTATAATCTGATAGAGGGGTCACATAATTTCACCATATCCTGTTATCCAAAGGTGACAAAAGCCTGTAATTCCTAAGAGTCCCCTTAGCTGTTCTAGAGCCTTGGGCTGTAGGAAGGGAAGAGTTGGTTTAATTCTTTCTTCCCTCAGGGTTTGGGTTCCCTTAGATATGATAAGGTATAAATAGTTTACCTCAAGGCTGCAAAGTTGTGCCTTAGACCTAGAAACCTTATACCCCCTGTCTGCTAGAAAATTTAACAGAGAGGATGCATAACAGTATATCATCTACATATTATAAGACTGTGACCTGGGAACATTCAAAACATGCCAAGTCATGAGAAAGCACTTGCCCAAAGAGATGAGGACTCTTCTCTGAATCTTTGAGGAAGCACAGTTCACATCAGCTGAGATGCCTAGTCATGAAGATTTTTGAAGGCAAAGAGAAACTGGGAGAATCTGTATGCAAAGGAATACAAAAGAAGGCCTCTTTTAAATCTTACAAGAGAACCACTGGCATCTTCCAGGATCTAGAGAGGAGAGTGCATGGGTTAGGTACTATCAGGCTCACTGGCACTACTGCTTCATTTATTAATCTAAGGTCCTGTATCAACCTCCATTCTCCATTAGGTTTTTATTTTATTTTATTTTATTTTTTTGGTACCAGGGATCAAACTTGGAACCTTGCGCTTGCGAGGCAGGCGCCGGAACCACTGAGCTAAATCCCCGGCCCTCCATTAGGTTTTCGAACTCCCAAGATTGGAGAGTTACATGAGCTATTACAGACTTTAAATAAACCTTGTGCTCTTGTCAATTATAGGCAAAATTTTTTTTTTTTTTTACTTCAGGCCTTAGATGATATTGTCTTTGGTGAGGAAAAAAATAGGATCTTTGAGATGTATTTGTACCAGAGTAGCTTTCATCATTCTACCTATTCTACCTTTAGTTGCTCATACTTCAGGATTTATTTCTGTCTCTACAAGGAGAAGGCAGCATATCTGACCTGGGTGCACATATATTACAGTAGTTAAACAAGATAGAATATCTCTCCCAAGGAGAAGAACTGGACTTTCAGGCATAATTAAAAAGGAATGGTTGAAAAGAAGGCCATCCAATTACAGCCTCAGGGTTGTGAGAAATAGCAAGTTACTTCCTCTCCAGAGATTCCTTTTACTGGGGTATGATGGCTGGAAGGAAGTCCAGGGTTGAAGAGAAGGACTGAGAGATATTCACCAGTGTCCAGCAATAGAATGATTTCTTTTCCCTCTATAATCATGATTACCTGGGCTCCTCTGTGAAGATGATAGTCTGGCCAGAAGGAGAAGGCAGAGAGTGCCCCAGGGCCCTTCAGTCTTGATGGACCAGCTGGTAAGTTGGATCTGAGCTCTGGAAACTTTGCCTCAAAAGGCACTCCAAACTCCAGTGATCACCTTTGCAATTAAGGTATGGTCCAGGAGGCTTATTTTTTTTTTTTTTTTTTTTCCAGACAGGGTCTCGCTGTGTAGCTCAGGCTGGCCTTGAACTCACTATGTAGTCCAGGCTGGCCTCAAACTCATGACAATCTTTTTGCCTCAGCCTCCCAAGTGTTGGGATTCCACAGTGGTAACAGGTTAGTAGTCATTGAGCTCTTCTTGGAGCCTCGAGGATCAGACCTATATTCTATTTCTTTAGGCATTGCTGATAAATCTGTCACCTTCTCTTGATTCTTCTGTTTTCTCCCCTTAGCCTCCTCCTGCTCTCGATTATAGAATACTGAGGAGGTAATTCTCACTAAAGTATCAAGGGAGGGCTGGGGATTTAGCTCATTGGTTTCCCCACCTGCTGCACAAGTGCAAGGACCTGAGTTCGATCCCTGGTACCAAAAAAAAATAAAAATAAAAAAAAAAAAGTATCAAGGGAGCTATCTGGACCAGAAGCCATCTTTTGTAACTTTTCCTATTATTTGGGGCTCACCATCTAATAAACTTGTCTTTAAGAACAATCTGTCCTACCAAGGCAGGAGCTAGGGACATATTTTTTTTTCCATATTTGAGATTTTATTGGTTGTGTTGAGGATCATTACAGACACTTCACTTTGTACACAATTTGTAACACAGGTACTGAAAAATCTAAAAAACCATGTATTGTTTCTTTTTTAGTTATTCCAGTTACTTTCCAGCTTCAAATTTGGAGGCAAATTTTCCATAAGAGGATTAAGTACCAGTATCTTCAAACGCTGATAAAGTGTTATTTAAGTCCCACCAATTCACAATTTCATATCATTTATACCACATATTCAAATTTTCAATCTTTCACAGCACATTAACAACATTAGGGAAACTGAACTACCATGACCAAAAAAGATGTTACAGAATACACACTATTCTGACTGGGCAATGATCAGGAAGTAGTTTTCTTTAGGAAACAATTCTACTAAAAACAACATAGGAATAGAAGTTATTTTAAATATCCAAGACATATTAAATGCATGGCTATGACTTCAAATCGCCATTTAGTATGCTTTATATTGCAGGATATAAAACTAACCCCCACTTATGGAATGTTAAGCTGACACACAAGACAGTCAAAGCCTGACATAATTCAATATCCCACTATTTTCAGGTTGTACCGAAAAATAAACAGCCAGCAAATGATTTCACCTCTAAAAAAATTGTTTACACTTAACATATGTAATGAGGCTGGGCCAGGGATTTAGCTCAGCGGTTCTGCTGCCTGCCTCGCAAGTGCAAGGCCCCGAGTTTGATCCCTGGTACCACCACCCCCTCAAAAAAAGTGATGAAGTGGGATTCCCTCCTTTTAAAAAATGTTTCTAAAGCTACTAAAAACTTGCATTTACAAAATATTTGATAAAAAATATTCCTCTGGATTGTACAAGACAGGAGACAGGGAGCAGTGATAAAACATGGTGTGTGATTAATCCAATTTGGCTTCTTTCTTTTCTGTTTCATCAGAGGCTGCACTCTCCTCATTTTTAGTTTCTCCATTTTAGGAATGTATGTTTTATCAGTGCCTCTTGTTAGTGATCTAAGAAGGCACAGGGGTTTTTCCTTTCCTCCTGTTGAATAGTTGATAATTTAAGATAATTGAAGGTCTTAGATCTCATCTTTTTTAGGCCCTCAAGAATACAAAACTGAAGATACCTTCTATTCCAATCTCCTATATAGTTGGTAGGCCAGTAGGGATCCTG